GTGGATTGGGTTGGTGGTGAGCTGCTGTCTCTCTCACCAGGTGGCACGGCACAGCCTGTCAGGAAGGCGTGGAGACAGTACAGGGCCTAGGCAGGAGGGAGAAGGAAAAGAAGGGGAAAGATAAAGAGAAATAAAAAACATGGCGCTGAGGGAGCAGTCCTATGGGGCAGTGCAGACCTGGGGAGGCCATGTGCCAGAGGCTCTCCAGCCAAGCAGTACAGCACAGCCTGCCAAGGGGGGATGGGTAGCACACAGGCCTGGGGGATGGGAGAAAGGAAAGGAGGGAAGGGAGAGAGAGAAGAAACAACAAAAAACAAATAAATCAAATGGCGCTGAGGAAGCTGGTTGGTGACAGTGGAGCAGACCTGGGGAGGCCACGGGCAGTGACACTTCAACCAAGTTGTGCAGCATGGGCCCTCCATAAGGGGTGAGGGTGACGCACAGGGATGGGTGGGTGGGAGAAAGGAAAGGAGAGAGAGAAAGGAAACATAAAAAAAGAGAAAAAAAAAGAACAAAGCAAACAAATAAAAAAATCACAGCCTGTCATGAAGGTGAGGGGGTGGTACACAAGGCTAGCTGGGTGGGAGAAATGAAAAAAAGGAAGGGAGAGAGAAGCAACAAAAAAAGTAAAAAAAAAAAAAAATAATCAAAGAAACGAACAAAAATACAAACCAAACAATGAAACAAACAAACAAATGGTGCTGAATGGGCCAGCTAGTGGGGGCAGGACAGACCCTGGCGGCAGTGAGCTGGTGTCTCTTCAGCAGAGCAACCATGGCCAGCTGGAAAGCAGCAGGGGCCGCATACAGGGAAGAAGAGTGGGGGGTGGGAAAGTGTGTATTCTTGGTTACGGGGTGCTGTGTCTCCTGCTGGGAGCTCCATGGAGTTGCCTTCATATCCTCCCTGTCTGTAGTCCTTGGTGGCTGTACTCCAAGATGGCGTATCTGTGCCACGTTAGCTAGTAGGGGACCTCCACTCCATTACTCTCCTTGTTCTCTGTTCTCTGTCAGTTTCTTCTTCCATTTGATGCTTGATCAAGTTGTTTATTCCTTCATTTGGTGCTTAGGGTTCCAGGATTGATGTTTATATCCGTTTTACTTACTTTTTCAGGTCTTTGCTGCAGAGGGATGGCATGGTGCTTCTGTCTATAGTGCCATGTTGGTTCCTTGTGATTGACATTGAAGCCATTTTTAATTTAAAAGGAAAATTACTATACTTTGTACATACAACATACTTCCTAATTATTGAAGTCTGTCAAAGTAGTCTTTCTCCTTTTGCTTTTCCTTCAAAGAACTATATGGTCTGATGAATCTTTGCACATCAGACATTGTCTATGTTGCAACCAAAATTCATGAAAATCCATGGCCTATGAAGCAGTTTAGGGCACTCATGGCACTGTCCCCCAACAAAGGCCTGGTCATCTTTTCTGGGTCCTGCACATGACGTCTAGAGTGAACAGGCAGGGGTGGGGCCTGTGAGGGCAGAGTCAGGAGGGGACTCCCAGAGGCTGGGGAACTGGTCTAACTTTTTGATTATATTCCATGTATATCTAGATCCAAGATCTTTCCTCATCAGGGAGGGATTGGGAATGTGTCTGCTCTCAGCCCTCCTCCATCATGTCATTATAGAGGAGGTCACCAATTTGTAAATTCAACCTGACTTTCATAACATTGTCATGTGGGGATGAACTTGTCCCACTCACATCATCACTAGTGGCGGAATATCCTATAGCCAGGATGAACAATTACGCTTTGCTTGTTCTCTACCTGTGGTACATGTCGTAGATGGTTTGGTAGTTATTTAAGTATATGTCTGATCACAGACTGCTGTAACTATTTACTAGCTGTTTATGTCCATGTTACCCTTAGCCCTTGCTTTGATGCCTGGATTTGAATCCTGGCTTTCCTGCTTTTACTAGCCAGTTTCAAAAAACCAGTTGCCATTGAGTCAATTCTGACTCATGGCAACCCCAGTGTTTCAGAATAGAATTGGGAACCATCAGGTTTTCAGTGAATTTTTTTTTTTTTTGGAAGTAGATGGCCAGGCCTTTCTTCCAAGGCTCCTGCTTTCCTGCTTTTACTGGCCATGAAAACTTGGACAAGTTATTTCACCTCCCTTCCTCTTTTGTTGCCTTATATGCAAAAGAGGGAGAATAACAGTCTCCACCTCCTTGGGTGATGCGAGCATTAAATGAGACACGAATGTAAAATGGTCCAATAAGAACTTCCCATAAGTAATAGCTGTCTTCATTAATAATGGTGCTCTGGAGTAGACCCAAGATTTGATCCTAGGTCTTTGCTCATCAGGGAAGAATTCAGAAAGTGCCTGCTCTCAGCCCAGCTTTTCTAGTGCTGCTGCTGAAGGGGCAAGTGTTTCTTTCAAGGCATGGCTGGACCGCTTTCAGACTAGGACAGCGCTACCCTGCTCTGCTGCTTTTTCCACACCGTGGAGTCAGAGTGACTTGCAAATAAATTTGTGTAATGAGGCCTTGAATAGCTTGAATCTAACAGAACTCTTATATTAAAAAGATTTAACCATAACCTAAGACTGTTCCTGTTATTCCTTGCCCACCCCTACTCCATCAGGAGGGCAGGAAGGAAAAATGTGTTGTTATTCATCCAACAGTAAATATTTTTGAGCAATTACTTTGCTCAAGATACTACGCCAAGGACATGGCATTTAAAAAGACGTCCTTCACGCCAGACTGGCTTTGCCCACCCACCCAACCTGTCCTCTGGAAACTTATGCCACATCCAGAGAGAAGAGGAAAAGGAGAAGGGAACTGGGGAGACTCTTGAACTGATGAAAGAAGTTCCTAAAAGCGACCAGAGTTTTAAACAGGAAGGAACTGAATTTCTTTGGTGGTGAGATTTAGCATTCCACTATTAACTAGAAATGGGGCCAGTGAACTAAGTTGACTTCAGTTATGGAAAAAGAAAGACAACCATGTATCTGCACCCCTCCCAGGCTTTGAACCTACGTTTTTGTGAGTGGCTACCTTTCCTTATGAGGGTAACCTTCCATGTCACCTTTGGATCCAAGTGGCCACCTGCTGGAATACCTGTGTCCATCTAGGAACTCCCAATTTTCTATCTACAGAAGTATCAATTGCCTCATGTACATCAATAAGGCCAGTGTCAGGAGGCTTTTGCATTTCTGGTTTAATTAAACTAGCCTAAACCGGCTTGAGTCAGAATTTACACTGACAGAGGAAACAGATATAGGAATAGATATGGGGAAACCATATTACATATTATACATTACAACCACGTGTACTCTGCAGTAAAAAATACCTCAGGCCAAGGCCTCACCAGGAAGGGAAGTGCTGAAATTACTCAGAGCGATTACAATATTTTCTCATATAAATGTGCACTATCAAGGCCAATCCACTGGGGTGATTGAAGGGCTCCAGGGGAATGTATTCCTCCATTAAATCATCCTTGTGGCTCATAACAATGTCTGAGATTCCATCATGGATCATTATTTCTTTGGTTCCTGAAGGAGCTGTCAGTTTTTCAATTAAAGCACAGCTATCCCCAAAGAAAGTTCACAGCATAAGCTCTTAGCAACAGACAGCAGTTGTTCATGGCGTGGTTGCTAGCCTGGGATCTAGAGGAGATATTGAAAAGGAAGGCCAGGGCCAGCCTTCTCATTTGGCCTAGGGCTAGGTCATCATAATCATCCACAGCCAATATGCAATGAACAACCATTTAGTAATCATGATCCTAACATGAAAACCTGAATTATGTTTTTATAATTGTTGGTAGGTGCCGTCAAGTCAGTTCCGACTCATAGTAACCCTACATAAAACAGAATGAAACACTGCCCGGTCCTACGCCATCCTCACAATCCTTGTTGCGCTTGAGCTCATTGTTGCAGCCACTGTGTCAATCCATCTCCTTGAGGGCCTTCCTCTTTTTCACTGACCCTCTACTTTACCAAGCATGATGTCCTTCTCCAGGATCTGGCTCCTCCTGATAACCTATCTAAAGTATGTGAGATGAAGTCTCACCATTCTCCCTTCTAAGGAGCATTCTGGCTGTACTTCCAAGACAAGATTTGTTCGTTCTTCTGGCAGTCCATGGTATAGTCAATATTCCTTGCCAACACCATGTTTCAGAGGCATCAATTCTTCCTTATTCATTGTTGAGCTTTCACATGCATATGAGGCGATTGAAAACACCATGGCTTGGGTCAGGTGCACCATAGTCCTTAAAGTGACATCTTTGCTTTTAACACTTTAAAGAAACCTTTTGCAGCAGATTTGCCCACTGCAATGCGTCTTTTGATTTCTTGACTGCTGCTTCCATGGGTGTTGATTGTGGATCCAAGTAAAATGAAATCCTTGACAACTTCAATCTTTTCTCTTTTTATCATGATGTTGCCTATTGGTCCACTTGTGAGGATTTTTGTTTTCTTGATGTTGAGGTGTAATCCAAAGGCTGTGGTCTTTGATCTTCATCAGTAAGTGCTGCAAGTCCTCTTCACTTTCAGCAAGCCAGGTTGTGTCATTTGCATATTGCAGGTTGTTAATGAGTCTTCCTCCAATCCTGATGCCACATTCTTCTTCATATAGTCCAGCTTCTCAGACTATTTGCTCAGCATAAAGATTGAATAAGAGTGGTGAAAGGATAAACCCTGACGCACACCTTTCCTGACTTTAAAGCATGCAGTATCCCCTTGTTCAGTTAGAACGACTGCCTCTTGGTCTATGTACAGGCTCCTCATGAGCACAATTAAGTGTATGGAATTCCCATGATTGACAATGTTATCCATAATTTGTTATGATCCACACAGCTTAATGCCTTTGCATAGTCAATAAAACACAGGTAAACATCTTTCTGGTATTCTTTGCTTTCATCCAAGATCCATCTGACATCAGCAATGATATTTTCATAATAGAAAACGAAAATAAAAAGCCCCAAACCAGCTGCTATCGAGTTGATTCTAACTCATGGTGACCCTATGTGTTACAGACTATAACTGCACTCCATAGAGTTTTCGAAGCCGTGACCTTTCGAAAGCAGATTGCCAGGCCTTTCTTTCGAGGAGCCTCTGGGTGAGTTCAAACCACTAGCCTTTCTGTTAGTAGTTGAAAACAGTTCATTAATAAAACAAAGACTCAAGTCTTCCCCATACAGAGTGAGGGTCAGGCCCATTCTCTCTGGGGTCAACTGGTCACTATCTCTCTGACCACCAGCAGGTTGCTTATCCTTGCTAATCCTCAGAGCGCTCTCCTCTGTAAAATGGGGTAATAATGTTATCTACCCCATTAGGTGGCTACGAGGAGCAAATAAGATAAACTATCCAAACCATTGAGCCCAGTGAACCACAGAATAAACGCTTGAGAAATGTTAGTACCTCACTCTGTGAGCTTTCTCTGCTGAAGTTAATGTGGCTGACTCTCCTCATGCGGTGCCACTTTTGGTGTTAAGATCATTCTGTATTGTTCCACAGAGTGAGCCAGGGCTGTGTCATTATGAATTCAGGTGTCAGCCCATCAAAAAGCTTTAAAGACCACCTACATTTGTGCAGGGAAACCCTGATGGTGTAGTAGTTAAGAGCTACGGCTGCTAACCAAAAGGTTAGCAGTTGGAATCCACCAGGTGCTCCTTGGAAACCCTATGGGGCAGTTCTACTCTGTCCTATAGGGTCGCTATGAGTCGGAACAGCAACGGGTTTTATGGGTTACATTGTGCAGAGCTTGCACTGTGCCACATCTCCTGTGTGCTTCAAGTTTGAAAATATGCTGAAGTAAAATAAAGCATCTGGGCAAGAGAAATTCTGTAATTGTTTTTCTCTAATACCCTTAGATAGTGCTTAGATAGCATATAACCCCTAGGTAGTGCTTATCAATACTAACTCATTCACTACCCATATGATTCGCCATTTTATACGTGAGGAAACTGAGATACTGACAGTCAAGTAATTTCTGGAGGTCACAAAGCTAGTGAGAGTGGAGCCAGGATTTAAACCAAACGTTCTGACTCCAGAGTCAGGGCTGTTAACTACTATGCTATTCTTTGACGTGCTGTAGCGCACATATCCCATACCGCACACATACACTCAGTTACACTCACATATATTCACCCCCGCACATACACCCTTTTACACCCACACTCACACACACACCATATCACACACACACCATACCACACAAACACACCATAGCACATACATACACTCAGTCACACATGCACTCATTCTCACACACTCTCTCACACTGCTACGCACACACACACGTACACCATACCACACACACACACACTCTGTCACATTCACATACACTCACTCCCACAGAACAATTTCTCACACTGATACACACACAGATACCCTGTAGCACATATGTACACTGTCACACTCACAGGTAGTCACCCCCATACACACTCTTACACTCACACACCCCCCATACCACACACACAGTCAGTCACACTCACATGTACTCACCCCCACACACGTTCTCTCACACTCACACACCCCCATACCACACACACACTCACTCACATGTACTCACTCCCGCACACGTTCTCTCACACTCACACCCCCCCCATACCACACACACACAGTCACACTCAACATGCACACACACATATTCACAGAGGCTTCTCCTTCCACTGTGTTTATGTTCGCTTTCCTTGACAATGTGTGACGGTCACTGCTTCACAGACGTTCCTTAGTGTCAGCACATCTGGAATAATAGCGAGTGGTATGGCCAGGAAAAGAAGGAGCCTCTGCTGACGGTTTGACACTGTCAGGGAGGTGGGAGAGCTAGAGTGAGGTTGCCATCTCTAAAGAGTTCTGACCATGCTTCCTCATCTCCTCCCTCAGAGGAAGAAGCCAACCAGCATGAGACAGTGAGGAAGAGTGATAAGTGACCAGCTCCCAGATGAAAAATGATAAAGGGAATCTTCAGACCTTAGCGATGTTAAATGGCAATAGAGCAGTGCTTAGTGACAGAGGACAAAAAGAGACTCCTACTCCTGGGTACACAGCACTCACTCACCACACCACCAAGCAGGGCTTTGTGAAATGTGTCTACACAGCAGGAGATGAACTCAGCTCCTCAGAGGGACACAAATAACCCCTTCATGTAGGAAACATTTCTGAAGTATCTGTTGTTTTCCAAGCACTGGACTTCTAAGCTTTCCAGTTACGGGTAACTGGGCTTTCCAGTTACACAGACACCTCTGCCCTGTGGCCCGCTCTCTAGTTGGGGCGGGGGTGGCAGTGAGGGAACAAACAGCCCTAACACTACATAGCTGGCTCCACCTAGACAGACCTGGGAAGATGTGACAGACAGAAGCCATTTTGGCCACGTCTTGAAGTGTGAGCAGGTGGCCAGGAGTTCGGTGCAGTTGTTTGGGCGGAAGTAACGGGAAGGGTGGTGGAGGGGGAGAGAGATCTGGAAGCTCTTTGGGAGGTAACAAGAAGACTGGAGACCAAATGGTTGTGAGGAGTCAAAGGGAGAAGTCAAAGGTGGCCCCAGCAACTTGGGAAATAGTGATGCTGTTAACCTGGGTAGGGAGTAGAATAGAGGAGGAGAAAGTTTGGGAAGTCACCAAAGAAGGCAAGTTGAATGTAAACAAAGCCCCACCTTATAGAGGAGTGGGAACCGGGGTCATATGACATCGTCTTGACATTGATGAAATTGTGTTGGGGTGGAGAAATGGGAGCAAAGCATAACTTTCCTCACTGGGGTGTAGGAGGAGAAGAGACTTTGGTGGTGATGTAGTTGGGGACTTATGGACCACTTTCATGATACTCTGACTTATTGTCTGTTCATTTACTTATTTTCAGCACAAGCTGAGAGACTGGAGGCTAACAGCCAGTCTCCACCTCAGCCTGCCAGTCACTCCTGTATTTGCCTCGCCGTTGGGACAATTCTGGGAAGACACAAAAGCACCTCTAGCACTTTCTTAGAATGATCTACTTCTCATTATCTCATCACTGCAAAAAGAGAGTGTATTTCTCAACCACCTGCTTCCTTCTTCCCCAGGTGAACTTGGAATGCACCTTCGGATTTCTGGGTAAGCCGGTATGACAGGAGGCCTGGTGGTGCAGTGGTTAAGAGATGAGCTGCAGACTGAAAGGTCAGCAGTTTGAATCCCCAAGCTGCTCCTTGGAAACCCTGTGGGGTGGTTCTTCTCTGTCCTGTAGACTCGTATGAGTCAGAATCAACTCCATGGCAACGGGTTTGGTTTGGTTTTCGGTAGCAACAGCAGCACCGCTAGCTTCACTTGCTTCCTAGTCGACTTGCTGGTGATTAATAATAACATTAGGGTGGTTGCATTTCTTAGTTAAATTTCAGTAGCAAATTAATATCCTCTTCTTATAGAAAATTGTACTTTTACAAAGAAATTGTCTAAACTCTATGATATGTTGGGTTAACCTATTTAAAAGGATCCCAGCCTGCTGTATAATTCCATTACAGCATTGCTGAAGATGCTTGCAGGCGACGGATGAAGACCTTCTGGGAGGTGAGAGAGCAGAATAAAGCAGCTCCCTTCACTGTGCTTCTTTTCCGTCTTCTGCTCTTGGGGCTGCTTGTTCAAAATAAGGTGTTTGCTTTGATTAGGGCCTTCCACCGGGAAAGAGGACTTGCTGAGACCCTCATCCTCAAATGACATGGAAGACATAAAATATGCAAACGTTGTCCTTCCCCCTTCCTGAGAAGGGGAATGGAAGGGAGAGTAAGGAAGGAAGCTGATTATTCCTGAAACTTAAGCTTCAGAGTAAGGAGCCCTGGTGACGCAGCGGTTAAGTGCTCGGCTGCCAACTGAAAGGTCATTGGTTCGAACCCACCAGCCGCTCCAGAGAAGAAAGACCTGGCGATCTGCTCCCATAAAGATTACAGCCTAGAAAACCCTATAGGGCTGTTCTACTCTGTCCTATAGGGTCACTATGAGTCGGAATCAATTTGACAGCACACAACAATACAACAAACTTCAGAGCAGGCATCCCTGAGTGGTACAGATGGTTAGTGTGCTTGGCTGCTAACCGATTAGTTGGAGATTCAAGTCCACTCAAAGGCACATTGGAAGAAAAGCCTGGTGATCTACTTCTGAAAAATCGGCCATTCTGCTCTGACACACACAGACAGGGTGGCCGTGAGTCGGAAATGACTTGACAGCAACCACTGGTTTAAAGGGTTACAGTAACCTGCAACTATGTTTCCTTTCACTTTGAAAAAACGGTAAAATTGAAGTATTTTAAAAACTTTACGCAGTAAAAGGGAAAAAAGATTTCATTAATCTTACAATTTTGGCGAACCACTAAAAGTCTTGATGAAAATTTTATAATAATCTAGAAGAGAAAAATTTAATGTCATAATATTTTCAATTATTTTTATGGAAATCTTTTCTTTACAGTATAATGATACAAATCTAACCTTTTAGCCAGTCCTACAGAAAACTATATTTAATTTAGAAGCCTGAAGTTTAGATTTTAAAGCTTGGGGTTTATTTAAAGCTTACAGTTAGAAAGTGTGAGTAAAAAACAAACAATAGCCACAAATTCAAGAAACTGTTGCTCAAACTTAAGGCAATAAAGATTCATTCATTCGTGTGTCCACTAATTCAGTAAGTATTTATATTATGCCCCAGACACAAAATTTAAAAAGCATATTTTTTTCTTCATGACATGATCCTCCATTCTATCACTAAAGTCATTAAATTTCTTTTATGGAAAAAAAAATATTAATATACAGTTGTCAAATGAACCAGATAAGTATATGTGTTGAACTGGAAATATGTTCTCTCTCTCTCTCTCTCTCTATATATATATATATATATATATGCTATAATTTTATATGATATCCTAAGGACTTATTTTTCTTCCTTTTAAGATGTATTAGACTAAGAAGAAATTGGTAACCATATAAATTTGAGCTCATGTTCAGGTTTTAGCTCATTTAGTACCCCTGCTTTGAAACTGAAATCCCAAAATTATATATCATCACCAAATTATAATACTTTTTGAGGAGGTTTATAATTGTGTGTTCCTATTCAGCCACATGGAGTCCCTGGGTGGTGCAAATGGTTAAGAGCTTGGCTATCTACCAAAAAGTTGGTGGTTCGAATCTACTCAGAAGCACCTTGGAAGAAAGGCCTGCTGATCTACTTCTGAAAGATCGCAACTGTTGAAAACTCTATGGAAAACCCTATGGAGCACAGTTCTACTCTGAAACACATGGGTTGCCATGAGTCACAATCGACTTTATGGCAACTAGGATTTTTAAAAAATTATTTTTATTGTTATTCAGCTACTTGCCAGTATGTAAAAACTTATCTCATAGCTCCATTTACGAGGAGAAAGCTCCTAGTTTTAATGTGCTGGCTGAAGTCCATTATCTAGGTAGTTTAATTTCAATAATTACTTCCCTTCTAAAGGTCCTGTCCATACACCAGATGGCCCTAAGCCAACAACCTTCAACTTCAAATGCCGTTTATATTGTCTTTGTCAGCAAGCGGAACTACGTATATCTGTTTTTCCTCCCTTCCTACCTAATTAGAACTATGACATCCAAACCCCAGACCCCAATACACTCAACAAGAAGAAGGCTTCCTATGACGGGTTAGGAAGACCATGCTGCTGAGAGCAAAATGGAAGTGACGGAACATAATGAACAGGTTTGGGAGGAAGGAAACGGAATTCAGAAGAGTACAATCTGAGAATGCGGCCGTGAAGGCCAAGAAAAAGTTTAATGGGATCAGGGAATTGGAAAAGGGGAACTTAGGGCCATAAAGGGAATTTTTAGAGAAAAGGCGTGCTCATATTTTGTAAGTTTTGCATTTCACAGCAAGTTTCTAGGTCCAAACACATTTCCTAGGCTCAGGCCGCCAGGGAAAATAAACACTGACGATCTAATGAGTCGGGGAGCAGGAACTGCTAGGACATCTTTGAGGTATATAGCATTATAATGGGTACTTTATTTTGATTCAGAAAATATTAACTTCTACATTTTCAGATATGTTTATCATACAAAATTGCTTTATAAATTATGAAGAATGGAACAAACTGAAAATAACATCAGTTTTATCAACTTAGAAAAATCAGTGTCACAGGTAGTTTTTTTTAAAGGCTTTATCTTTTGAGGGTGAAGCCCAAGGTTAAAAGTCTCTTACTGTGTCTTGTAGGGTGTCTGCACTGGGGTTACACAGGAGCCAGATGGCACACCATCAGCTTGGGCAGCTCTGGTCAAACTCACGGACAAATGTATGAAGGGCCCACCTCCCAGGGAGCATTGGTGACTCCAGCCTCCCCTTCGGAGATGCCTGGAGAGGTTTTGCAGCTCAGGGACAGAGTGGTGATGATGTTGGCCCTGGCCAAGGCAGATCCTCTGAGGGCTTAAACAAGGTTTTTAGATCTGGAATCTTGAGTGATGAGCTAAACAAAACATAGACTTTTTATGAAGGTGTTGTAAGCCTTCCAGGCGGCCTTTCATTTTTCAGTATTCCTTCAAAGATACATAAGTTGGATTTTAGCAAGCTGTCAGTGGAAAGGAAAACTGGTAAACTGAATCCAAGAGGGAAAAAAAGCAATCTGCACGTGCACACATGCACGGGCACACACGTGCACACACAAGACTACATTCTGCAACTACACACCATACTCACGTGCAAATGCTTTGAAGGCAATGGAGGGTGAGTAGATTTTCAGGTTACAAGCAGCTTTTTGGAATGGCAATCATACACCTTCTTCTTTCTTTCAGGGGCTTGAAAGCTGAAGAGAAGTGGATCCTGCAAGTTCTTGAGCATCCAGCTGAAAGAGAGCCCGTTTGTATTTGGCCAAAAATCTTCAGAAAGGAGGATGTAGCTTTCCTCGAAAAGGCTATCCTCTAGAAACCTCGGCTTCTCCAAACTTCCCCTGACCCCTTAGCAGAGCTGCCTGCCCATGCTGGAGGGAAGGGCTGGGCCTAAATCTGGGCAGCCTCTGCCCCTTGATGAGATCCTGGTGCCCTGGGGAGGGGGCCTGCATATTAGCCTGTGGCCGTTATGAGGCATTAAGTAATAGAAAGGCACTTAGTGTAAGTAACCGTGGCTGGAACGCTAGTTCTCTTCTACAAACAGGCTGTAAAACTGTATTTGAGCTCCTTGGAGATAGGTATTAAAAGCAATAATTTTTTTTACTGGTATTGCTATTGTGTGTGTGTGTCTAATGACCTTCCTGGAGCAGGCTATGCCCAGGCGGAGACAGAGAGTTTACATGGCAGGAAGACTGTCTTCCCTTAGGTGCTGTGACAGAAGAGGAAAGAGAACAAAAACCATAACTTAAGAAAAGAAAGAATAAAGAATCTTCCAAAAGCAAGAATGGTTGTTAAGGAAACTCCTCCTGAAGCGTAACTGAGGGAAAGGGTGGCCTGTTTATTGAAACCTTTGGCCCGGTGTCCTGCTACCACAGAGTCTAAGCACACACTGCCTAGTGCCAGGAAAGAGTTTGGAAACAAAATTCAATTCCACAAACATGACTGCGCACCCTCTAAGTGCTAGAAAAAGCACTCCGTTACTGGGGATGAGAAGATGAACAGGGCATGATTTTAGATTTGGGTAATTTACCTATGAGAATTCTGCAAGAGAATATGATCAAATGGTTAGTTTTCTGGTGGTGCAGTGGTTAAGTGCTCAGCTGCTAACCGAAAGGTTGGTGGTTTGAACCCACCTGCTGCTCTGCAGGAGAAAGATGTGGCAGTATGTTCCCGTAAAGATTACAGCCTTGGAAACTCTGTGGGGCAGTCCTACTCTGTCCTGTAGGGTCCCCATGAGTCAGAATTGACTGGATGGCAACAGCAGCTAAGACATTCTAGCTAAGTAGTTTTGAAAGTTGTTGGCTAAGAGGGGATTGTGAGGGAGGGGTGTGGGGCTGCCTTTTGAAACCTTCATGCTGTTCTTCTCTTTGCCACTGGTGGGAATTTGAGTGGCTCTTTGGGAGCAGATTGGCTTTCATTGGGCCTTTGGGTATTCTACAGGGAAACTGATCCTGCTCTCTAATGAAGACGACCCAGCATGACTTCCCGATTGTCTCCCATCTCCCCTGCTCTTCCTCCTCAGGCCTCTTTGCTAACCTAACCCCACCTTGAGAAGACTCTGTCTCTTCTTACTCTACCGTCTCTACTCAGGTCATTTCAGCCACGCCCTTGGCGCTACATCATCTCTTACCAGTTCCCGTCGAGTGGATTCTGACTCATGGTGACCGTGTGTGTGCAGACCAGAACTGCTCCATAGGGTTTTCAGTGGCTGTGACCTTTCAGAAGCAGATTGCCAGGCCTTTCTCCTGAGGCATGCCTGGGTGGACTCAAAACGCCAACCTTTTGATTAGTAGCCTAGTGCTTTTAACCGTTTGCACCGCCTGGGGACTCCCCACATTGTCTCTACATGGCCGTTATTCCTCAGGCTATAGTCCAGACCCAACCTCTGTTCTGAGCACTCTTGTTGTTAGCTTCTGTCATTGAGTCAGCCCCTGGCTCATGACGACCCCATCCACAACAGATCGAAATGTTGCCTGGTCCTGCACCATCCCCGTAGTTGGATGTGGACAGGATTGTTGTGATCCATATGGGTTTCATTGGCTGATTTTTGGAAGTAGTTTGCCAGGCCTTTCTTCCTAGTCTGATGCTTTGTTGCAACCTGTTTAGCATCATAGCAACATGCAAGGATCTGAGCACTAGCCTCATATATTCTCCCCATACTCTTCCCAAATCTGCCCTTCAATCCATCCTCTTTTCCCTCATCGGCTTGACTGGTGCCTAAAACCCTTTGGAGGGTTCTCATTGTTCTAAGGATAAAATCCAAAATTCTTAATGTGCCTACAAGACCATGCATGATTGGCTAATGTTTGCTTCTTTGACCTCATCTCCTGTCCCTTTTCTTCAGATGAGCTCAGCTCCTTCCTGCCTCAGAGCCTCAAGCACACCTTTCGCTTTATCTAGAATGATCTAAACCTCAGTCATCCTTCAGAGCTCAGCTTAGATGATGCTTCCTCAGGGGGCCGTCTTGAACCTGTTAGAGCTATGTTGGCACTCCTTATTATACTCTGCATCTTCACTGCATCTACCCAAGACAAAAAAAAAAACCCACCATGCGTAAAATTGTTTGTTACTATCTGTCTCCCACATATTGAACAATTACACAGATTATCTCCTCACTATCTAGTACAGGCAAGGAGCTGAGTAGATGCTTGATAAATGCATTAATGAATCAGTTTCTTCCTAACATAATGTAAATGTTCATTTTTACTATAGACAGACATGCATGTCTACAGATTATTTTTTATTTGCTTGGAGTGGAACTAATATTGAGGGTGAGGAGAATTTTTTTTTTCTTTTGCTAGGCCCTGATAGGGTCATAGATTGGGCTCTTGTTGGGGCTCAGTGATGGGCCTTCTGTCTGGAGGAGACGAGCTGGTTTCTTGCATGGGGCTCAGGCTAAGGAGAGGGAGCTCTGTGGTTGTTCTTATTGGGTTTTAACTTTTTCCTTTTCTCCTTTGCAATTCCCTTCTGTCTCCTTGAGCCTTCTGTTAAGTTTTGTTAAATCTCACAGCTGTGCATGAGGAGCTAGATAAGGAGGAGCCATGTTTGAGGCAAAGCTATTTGGGAAGAAGTGCTTGGGACAGCGTGCAGTGGAGGGAGTGCTGATCAGGAACAAAATGGCCAGCTGAGAGCCAAGTGCCAGCAGGCAGAGGTGTGCAGAAATGTTAATATTCCTCTGGAATCGGCAGGAGTATTTTGGGCAGAAATTGGACAATGACTGGAATTTCTGAGATTGCATAGTGTGCCAGTTATCAATATATTGCCTCTCCGCTGTAAATTCACCCTTTTTGCCTTTTCTGTGAAGATGGATCTGGGCCCTTTCAATAACTTCCTTTGCCAGCCGGCTTGATGTTAAGCTGTGTCGGCAGAGGGCACGGAAGAGACACTGCAGGAGGACAGGGTTTTGCCTTCTGGTTCTGGTGCACTTGCTTGGTAGGCTCCTGAAGTGCGTGTGGCTTCTCTGGCTCCAGCATCCTGCAGTGTACAGCAGAACCCAGGAGCCAGCAGCTCCTCCCGGCAGCCCACCTTCCCTTTCAGGTGGTTTTGTAGTGAAGTGCCTCCAGTGAGACACCTGTCTATGAACACCTTTCCCCACACTCTAACTGGTTGCCGTCGAGTCGATTCTGACTCATGGTGACCCCATGTGTGACAGAGTAGAACTGTGCTCCATAAGGTTTTTGGTGACTGATTTTTCGAAGCAGATCTCCAGGCCTTTCTTCAGAGTGCCTCTGGGTGGACTCAAATCTTCAATGTTTCAGTTAGGGACTCCTCCACACCCTAGAGGGTGGATTTCCAGCAAGCTTCACTGGCATACCACCACCATAACTTCTCTACCATTCAGGGGGCCATTGCCGTGCCCTCCCCATTGAGGTCCTCAGCCCGGGGGAGGGGGGTGGAGGGGCTCCTTAGGTGCTCTGTCTCAGCCCTAGGGGTAGGGGCTGCTCCTTATATTCTTATTCTGCTATTCCTGTTTTCTTCACTTCTTACTAGCCAATCCCTTGTTTAATACTTCTTTATATTAAACACCCCATGTTTAAATTACTGTGTGGTTTCTCTCTTCTGATTGGTCAGAGACTCATACACATAGGATGAAGGCTCGGACTTTGATTACTCGGGTATCAGGGGAAGGTGTCCCTAAAAGACTGGAGGAGTTGGAGAAATTAGGGTTGCATGTATTTTTCCAGGTTTGTGCAGTAAACATTTTATAATGAGAAAAAATAAACATTGTAAGACAGTGTGAGAAATGCAATACAAGAAGCAAGCTAAACACACACACGAACCCACTGTGGTAGGTCTGTGGCAGAAGTAAGGGGCCAGGCTCCTCCTTACAGGAGGCGACTCTTAAGTACTGAAGAGTAAGTGGGAGTGAGAGGTGTTTTCCCAGGCAGAGTGTGTGTGTGTGTGTGTGTGTGTGTGTGTGTGTGTGTAAAGGTGGGGAGACAGGACTAGGGGGCGTATGTGATGAAAAAGGGCAGTCACTAGTTCAGCGTGGTGGTCCAGGGTGGAGGGGCGGGGCTGTCTCATCACAGCAACCCTTTGGGGTCTCATTTTTAAACTGTGAGAGTGTTGGGGGAAAGCTGATTCCATCTATCTTTTAGACTGTGGCAGATCTGAGAATGCTCCTCCCACATCTCCCACAATCTCCTACTATCCAGAGCTTAGCTGACCAAGAGCTGCTGGCTCTGAGATCACCGCTGCTGCGCGTGTGTTTGCTTCCCGCTGGCTTCACCCAGCCCGGGACTGGGAGAGGCAGGGATCCCAGGGAGATGGACACCTCTGATGGCGACTTTGGTTGGAGGACCTACCAACGAACTTACTAAACTGCCCTCAGACGGCAGGGACCTTAGGGTGATCCCACCCAGTCTTCCTTCCTTCCCTCTCTCCTTCACTGCGGTCAGGCCTTGTAAGGTCTGAAGGCTCACGCAGCTTCTCTCGCTCCCGCTTCATTTCCCTCCACCGCTATTTCCCCTAATAAAATCCTTCCACGGTTAATCTTGCCCTGGTGCCTGCTTCTTGGAAGACCCACTTCTCAAGCATAAAGGACATCTACTTTCCTTCCCTTCTCCACGCCTGGTCCAGCCTTTGTAGGGACCAGGACAATGATTCCAGCAACTCAGCACTCTAGGCAGCCTTAATTCCTGCTTCTCTTTCACTTCCTCGCCCATCTCCTTTCCCAGCTCCGCCCCAGCCCCCGGAATTATTCAGATTCTGGAATAAATCCTGCAGTATCCGAATTCTACTGGATTGTCAGTCCCAAGTCAGGTGTCACCCGCGCCTTTAAGCCATCACCATTTTTTACTCTTCTCTCAGAACTATTTTTTATTTTTTGGTTGTGGCGGCGGCGGGTAAAGATGAGTCGTGTCCACTGCTGGAGACATCTGGCCTGTTCTCTTCCTGGTAGTACCACGTACACGTCCTCCACCATAAAATCGCTGAGGGAAGGGACTGGGCCTTATTCACGTTCGCATCCACAGCCCCAGGCAGCGCGCCAGGATCTTAGTAGGCACTTTCTCTCCGTTCAGTTGGTGTTTTCATTAACTGGATTGTCCCAAAGAAAGCGCAGGGAGAGGCCAGATGGGCAAGGGCCTGGCGTGAGGCCCGGCTGGTGCTCAGGGCCAGGTTTACCAGGCGCCACGCCGCCGGGAATTGGCACGTGGCAGGCTCGGGGGTGGGCTCGGGTGGGTGGGTGCGGAGGGTGGAGCGGAGGCGGGGTGAGCGGCAGGAGGAAAGGGCTGCTGCCTTGCTCGCCGCCGCCGGAGCTGCGCGCAGACGAGGGCACCGTGGCCAGGCCGCTGGAGGCTGCGCCCCGCTCCGGGCAGAGCACATAGTGACCAGGGAACTTCTCCAGCTGCGGCGAGGAGCTGAGGGGCGCGGCGTACGGGCGCAGGAGAAGCGCGCTCGTCGGCCGGCGGTGCCCGGAGAGCACCAGCGCGATCCAGGTGAGGGGGCCCCGCGCCAGCACACAGGGCGCGGTGGCTGCGTCGGCCCAGCTCGGGTTCGGGGCACCCGGCACCCGGCACGGGACCGCGGGCAGGCGGGCGGAAAGCGCGAAGTCGTCGCGGGTCCCCTGTTCTCCCGCCGGCCGGCTCCGGGCGCTGCCTCTCCTGGGTGCCCGCCCTGCGGCGGGGCCGCGTCGCCGGAG